CATTGTTTGTCCCTTAAAAAGCATTAGAGCTGTTACTACTTTTGTTTTGTCTTTTTTCTCTTTCTTTATGAATGAGTGGTTTATAAGTCACGACTACTGTGTTTTTTTGGATACTGTGGGTCTGTGTTCAATGTCTGTCACCTTTTGTTCTTCTGAAAATGCCTTACCTCTTCTTTGTTTCTGAAGACTGGTTTTGTGCATTCTGGGTATTTTTTTTTTTTTTTAATTTTCTTCCCTCAGCACCTTCAATATATGATTCCACTTTCTGCTGCCTTTGGATTTTTCTGCAGATAAGTCTTAGGATGGGTGTATTGAACTCCTTTATATGTTACTTCCTTCTATTGTTGCTTGGATGATCCTCTTTTTGTCCTTGATCTTTGAGAGTTTCAATATAATCTTTATATTGGGTGAACCTGATTGCTTAACTTTGAACTTCCTGTGTCTGTATATTAGCATCTTTCTCTAGGTTTGGAACATTTTCTATTATCATTCATTTGAGTAAACTTTCTGTCCCTTCAGTTATGATTGAGTCTTTGGTTGACACCAATGACAGGGGGATTGGACTTTTGATGGTGTCTCTTCAGAAATAAAGGAGAGATTAGGACATTTGCAGATGAACAAAAGGCGACAGACTCATTGAACACAGACGTACATTATGAGACAAACTAGAAGAAAAAGATGCCAATATGTACAATGAGAATCTCTAAAGGTATAAAATCTACAATTATGGGTAAATGTCCACAATATTCAGAACTCCCTAACACAGTAATCATGAACTGTAAACACTTATTCATAAAGGAAGATTAAAAGACAAAACAAATAAAAATAACAAGAACTACAATGATTCTTTATGAAACAAACAATGTAAAACGATGTCTACAATGATGTTGGAAATCCAAAATATTTTAACTGTTTATTGGATGTAGAAATCTTCTTGATTCTCATTATTTCTGACTGTTTGTGTATTTTCAAGTAACCTGTCTTTGAGGCTATTTTTTGAAGCTACTGAACTCTTCCTGTATTTTGTATATTCTGATATTGGTGTATTATATTCTGTTTTTCCCTTTGTTTATTTTATTTCTTAGCTCTAGGATTTTTGCCTAAATTTTAAAAAACCACAGTCACTTTTACATTAACCAACATATTGAACTAACCAGGATGTCCATCAGTGGATGAGTGGATTGATAAGAAGAAAATATGGTGTGAATATACAATAAAATATGATATAGCAATCCAAAAATAAAATCATAGTTTACAGCAAAATGTCCTATAGATTATCATCAGACATATGTTACAAAAATATTTTCTTCCAATTAAGTTTTCATGTCCAATATTCAATAGGAAGTAACTAAAATATAATATTAAAATATAATTATAAATTATGGACTTATGAATAAGTAAGTAATAAATAACTACTTTAAAATAGTATCACAATATAATGCAATAAATATATGGACATATAAAAAAGTTAAAATAAGATATCAAAATATAATTATAAATTATAGGCTTATGGATAAAATATTACATTGCAATTCATACATATATATGAACATATTTAAAATCTGTGTATCTTCCTGTGAATCCTCCTTTGGAGATTTCTACTTGACTTATTAGTAGATGATGGGGGTGCAGGTCTAAATAGTTCATATTGTAATTCAGCAGTAGCTTAAAAGAAAATGAAAATATTACATTCCTTATCTGAAAGATTTCATAATTGTCTAAATAAAGGTCAGTAAGTTGAGAATTTTTTTTATCAGTGTTAATAAATGAAAAATATGTATGTTTATAATACCAACTTGTGACTAAATATAATTCAATTATACTTGACCCAGAATTAAGTTTCATTGGGGCTAAGTATTAGAGTTTCTGGTTTTCCCATTGTTTATTTATCCAACAAATGTATGCTAAGGGACTATGACAAGCACCAGAATGACAATATGAAGGTGATAGTGTCCACCCTTCAACAATTGCATGATGTGTTTCTCCCCACCAACCCATCAACTGGCAATTCACATACAGAGTCATGGGTACTATGATAGGTGTAAAACATAGCACACTATAGGAACACAGGGAAGGGACCTTGTCATTGTAAATATTGCAGACTTTCTGGTGGAGGTGAGCTGTAAATGGATACCTGAAGGATAAGGAGAAAGTACACAGAAAGAGAGAAGTACAATGCAAAGAGTTAGAGATAAGGAAGAAAATGTGGAATTACAAGTAATACAATTTGGCTAGAAGTTATAAAAAAGAGACAGGATAAGAGAGAAAAATGAGGTGGGATAACCTGTCAAGAATCAAACTGATTTATGCTTTTTTAATTTCCAGGTTTTGGAATTTGGAACTTTTCCTGATGGCCTATGGTAAATCATTCTCATTACAATGTAAATGACAGTAGATTTAAAGGGGCATTTGTTAATAACAGGTCAGGAATTCTAAATGCTTGCCTAAGTAGCTTTTTGGCACCAAATCTGAGAAGTTGGTGAAACCTTTGTTTTCCAAGAATAGTTTCAGTGTGCAGTCTGACAGTTTCAGAGATGGCAGAAGTAAAGAAAGTATTGAACTAAGAAAAGAGAAGCATATACTTTTGAGATTTTTAAAAGATATGAAACATGAATAAATGAGGAATAAGTATGTTCTTCCTTAGAGGTGTTTTCAACATCTTTTGACATAAGGAAAATAATTAGTTATTGTTTATTTGAAAAACCAGTTCATCTATATTTGATACACAAATTTTGGCAACATACCTTCATTAATTTGTGTTTCCACGTTTTGTAATTTCTGCTGGAACTGAAATAGATCAAATGTTATTTATAATGTTAAAGTTAAACAAGAAACATTATCATGTGAATGATATATAACTTTAAATATTTGGACTTTAAATAGGACTTGTAAGCAGAGCTAATGTAGGGATTGCTTACAAAATAATAATATAAATTGTTACTTATTTTATATTGATAATAGAGAACACATACAAAATGTGGTTTGGATTAATCTGATAAGCAGTATAATTAATATCAATCTACTAAATATACATGATTTTAGAACAGTGATGTTTTAGTTTACTAATACAAAGATTAAACCACTCCATTCATTGTTTATACTGAAGGCATTACTTTGTGATTCTGAGAAACCTCTGCCCTTTATAAAAGTTTAATCAATTTTTTTCAATTCAATGGATTTTTCCTTAAAATAAATTTTCTATTCTACACTTTTAGAAAATTAAAAATTTAACATATGTTCTATGCTATTTATTTTTAAGCACAAAATCTAGAATATGTATGTGAGGTGAAAATTCTTCTGGCAAAAATTTAAAATATTATGTTGTCTAGATGATGACCAAACATTTTTGTTGACTAATCATACTTATCTATTTAATTATGAAATATCAAACTATCTGAAAGTATCCCAACAAGAGTATTACTTAAATGTTTTGCATACAAGCTATTCTCTTACTAATGCCCCAAGCAGGTTCTTAGCAAGGTGCACTGACTTTAATACATAATTCATGGTGATAATGATAAGGTGATACCTAATGCCTTTAAAAATTTTAGGTATAAAGGCAAATTTCTTTGACTGAAAGATATTACAATATTTTGAGTATCACATCCTATTTCTGTGAGAATAACATTAAAGATGAGTCTTGTAAAAGTAAGAACTCATTACCAGATGATGAGAGAAGCCTTTTTTGAAAAAATCATGCATTATCATCAATAAACACTATTTAGAACATAAATCACATTTTATAAGACTCGAATAAGGAACTACACCAAGGTAATGTTATTATCTTTCCCCCCAAAAGTTATTCTTTATATTTATTACTATAAATGGTAGATTTTATTATGTTTTTATAAACACACCCCAAATACTTTCAAAATACATAAATTCTGCTTAGCTGAAAATGATATACCTTCTTAAAACACTTCTTAATTTTGTATAGAATAAAATTTCCTGCCCTTTTCTCCTCTGCCACTTTGTTTAGTGCTGGGTATTGAATCCAGGGCCTCTTGTATGCTAAGAATACACTGCCACTAAGCTACTTCCCTACCCATATGCTTAATATGCTTAACAAATCTTAACTCTTATTATTACCACTCATATTGTGGTATGATAAATTTCAGTCAGGGTTTTTTTTCTTACACTTAAAGGACACATAGTAGAAGTAGTTGCTTCTGCTCTATTTCCCTGCATGAATTATCTTCCATTCTTTGACTCTAGACTTGGCAGCATAAATGAGCGGAGAGAAACGACTTTTGGGAAAGGGATAACAAGAAAGAAAAGACAGCTCAGAGGGATAGAGGGCAGACTAAGAACACTGGGGGTGAGCAGGCTGGCCTGGAAGAGAGTACATAACAGCTTAACTATGTGGAGTACTAAAAGTTCCAGGTTTGTCCTGGATGGTGGGAGGTGGAGGTGATTGAGCTGACAAGTGAAATCTGACAAACTCAGCATGTGTTTTTTAAAGTCCATTCCACTCAATTCTTACTTATCCATTAAATCATAAAGATTCCTTATTTCTATTAATAGAAATTCAGAACTGTTACCCTCAGTTAAATGGCTTAACATTTTCCAGCACAGACTACAGAAGAAAAAAGTGAGAAACATGTCTCGGAGGTATTAATCTCTCTCTGTCCTATTCTGTCAGATAACAGTGCTGCCAAAGGCTTTCAAAGTGTTTAAAGCAACAACTTAGGAGAAACTAAATGTTACCAAAAGAAATAAAAAGCTTAATAAATGGCTAATTTTCATTTTATGCTCAATAACCAAATCAAAAGTCTGAAATAAGACATATTTTCCAGAAAACATTTCTCCTTCCTTGTTAACCTATATTTTTCTGGGTGGACACTGTGTTTCAGATGGTGGAGGAATCTTGAAGTCCAATCTTAAGAAGCCAGTAAAGTTGTAACTTAATTTATACTTTTCAATTTTCAAAAATATAAGGTGAAAAAATTATACCCATTTGTTTTAGTTATTTTTTCTTGATGTAACCAAAGATCTGACAAGAACAATTTTAAAGAGGAAAAAGTTTATTCTGGGATACATATTTTCAGAGATCTCAATCCTTAGTTAGCTGGGTTCATCCTTTGGAGCTCAAAGTGAGGCAACACATCATGGTGGAAGGGTATGGTGGAGGGAAGCAGCTGAGAACGGGGAACCAGGAAGCTGAGACTCCATTTGCCAAGGACAAAATATAAACTGCAAAGGCACTACCCCAAAGACCCACCTTCCTCCAGCCATAACCTACCTGTCTATGGTTAGCACCAAGTTAATCCTTATTAGTGGATTAATGTACTGATTAGGTAAGGCTTTGAAAACCCAGTCACCTGTAAACACTCTTGCATTGTTTCACACAAGATCTGGGAGACACCTCATATCTAAATCATAAAAACAGTAGACCAATGTACCATGAACTTTAAGCTCATTAGAAGAATTCCCTCATAGCTGGTAGTTTTCAAACCATGTCCTCAGAAATTGATGTTTCCACAGGGGGCACTGAATGATGCAGATGTAAGAAAGTTCCACCCTCACAGCCCCCATAATTCCTGTAGAGAGAGAGCACTCATTTCTATTTGTTTTATATCATGCAGATTCATGAAAAGTTTTTAAATAGAAAATTTATATTCTTTGAACAAAAATGTTTAGAAAAGTAAGAAAGCCACAATGTCACTAGTTTTACATAAGAGCAAAAACATTCTTAGGGATATTACAGCTTACATGAGTTCAAAAGCCAACTGATGGCAGGTCAGGAATGGCCTTAGTTGTTCTTACTAAAGTATGTAGTTCTGTGTAGTTACTTCTTGCATATTCAGGAACACGACAAAGGTTTTTAAACATAGCTCTGAGAAAATGCATATGCAAAACTGCCATGTAACTCAATGATATTTAAAGCATGAGGCATAAAAGCTCTCTAATAAATTATACTTTCTAAAGTTATGAATAAAAGGGAAGAGAATAAAAATTATATTATTTTTGTTAGTAAGGAGTGCAATACACTCTTTAAAAAAAACCCTCTCATATTTTAAACAATGGAGCAAAGAACATGAAAGAAAAAAATCTTTACTTGAATAAAGCAAGCAAATTTTTCCTTACAAAATGGTATATTTTGTCCAAATAAGATTTGTTTTCCAAAATCAATTGATAAATGAATTATCCATGTTGTAGATTATTTATATCAAAATTTAAAACACACAAAAAGAGATTTCTCTTTACCATCTTGCCTACTTTTGGCCAACTTTCTAATCATTACTTAGGATATACAAAGATATGTGCTTGATTTCAATTACTGTTTAAATTCAGGCAGGAATTTAAATGATAGGAAAACCTTCATTTCCCTGGCCTCAAATTTCCATGCAGTGATTTATATTCTCTCTACTTTCCTCATGAGAAGAGAGGATATTTATCTACTGGAGAAATTGGATGAAGTACAATGAAATCTCTATTTGCAAATGACATGATTACCTAGATAATCTTAAAGAATCTTCAAAATAAATATTGAAACTACTAATATAAAGGCACAAAAACTACTAATACTATACTCATTTTGAATAATTGTGAAAAAATAATGTAAGTTTGAAATTTCTAAAAATTATAATAATAGTATTCCCCAAAATGAAATACATAGGCATAAATTTAACAATAGAGGCACAGGACATGTATGAAAAAAAAAACCTAATGATAAAAAAAGAAAGTTCTACATAAATATAAGTTAAACTGTGTTCGTGGACCAAAGACTAAATATCAAATTTAAATTTTGCTTGTCATATATAACTAATTAGGCTCAAAACTTCATCTTGTTGAATTAGGTCCTGCCTTCCTTAACCAGACTCCTAAAGCACAAGAAATAAAATTAATAAATGAGATGGATTCAAAATAAAAAGCTTCTTTGCAGCAAAGAAAACAATCAATAACATGATGAAAATGCCCAAAGGGTGGGAGAACATCTTTACGACATGTACATGAGATAGAGTACTAATCTCCAGGATATATAAAGAATTCAAAAAACTTAATACACACACAGAAACACATAAAAAACAATAAATGGGCTAAGGAACTTAACAGAAGAAGATATACAATCGATCAACCAAAAAAAAAAAAACAAATATATGAAAAAATCTTCAACATCTCTAGTAATTAGATAAATGCAAATGAAAACTACTCTAAGACTTAATCTCACTCCCATCAGAATGGCAGTTATCAAGAATACAAGCAATAAAAAGTGTTGGCAAAATATGGAGAAAAAGGTATACTCATACATTGTTGGTGGCACTGCAAATTGGTGCAACCAATCTGGAAAGAAGTATGCAGATTCCTCAGAAAAATTGAAATGGAACCACCATTTGACCCAGCTATCCCACTCCTCAGTCCATACCCTAAGGACTTGCCTAATTATTTTTAAAGCTATTGTAATAGTAATATTCTTTTTTTTTTTAATTTTTTTTAAAGAGAGAGTGAGAGAATTTTTAATATTTATTTTTTAGTTCTCAGCGGACACAACATCTTTGTTGGTATGTGGTGCTGAGGATCGAACCCGGGCCGCACGCATGCCAGGCGAGCGAGCTACCGCTTGAGCCACATCCCCAGCCCATAATAGTAATATTCTTATTTTACAAATATTGAGATAAAGATGCTATAATGAATCAGCCATTAGGATATACACTTCAAGAAAATGAAAATATTTTTACTTAAAAAAGAAATTACTCTTTAAAATTAATTAGTCTTTTTGAGTATTATACTTTTTAAGTTTCTAAATGAATTTATCTGAGATTCCTTTAAGTTATACACATACATATGTGATGAAATATTTGTTAATCAAACATTCACTATGATTAGGAGTGGTATTCTTGGGATGGTGCAGGAAAGCTTGAAAAGTATTATGAAGTACACCCAAGGTAAAATCACTTGGAAGGTAAGCCAAAGCAATTCAAAGGATCCAGTTAGTTACAGGCAATAATATTCATTTTGGAAAATCTAACTTAAATTGAGATTTTTAAAGAAAGCTAAGACGTATCAGTTAATTTATTGAAAAATGGGACAAGTAAATAGGAGCCCAGGGACAATAAAAACAGTGACATTTCTGTGTTTCTCTCTCTCTCTCTCTCTTTCTCTCTCTCTCTCTCCAGATCATTGTGATCTTTATTTAGCACGTATAGGTCAACTAAACAACATAGTATTTCACCAAATTAAAAAGAAAAAACAAATTCTATAAGGGGAAAAAGCTGATAAACTAACCTTAGTTAGATATTTCTTCAAGGTTTTACATGAAGATTGTGGGTATGAGATAGGCATTTCTCTTGGCATAAAATTTCTGTTGAGTCCCAAGTTGCTATGAAGATTTCTTTCAAGAGGACCCTCTCCAATAGGCCTTGAGTTCCCAGTGCTATTCTGCTGTATCACCAGAAGTCTGTTATTGGTTTCTTCTAGCATCTCAATGGCTCTGCAAAGACTGTAAAAGGCAAAGTCTTAGCATTTCATTTTCCTCTAAATGACTCTAAAATGACTCGCATTAAAAAATTTTGCCATAATTATAAATGGAATTTCCCATCAAACAGTGTCTTACCAATAATGTGTCAGCATGCATAGTGTATACAAACATAGGCTTTATACTGTTCTAAAGATGTACATATGTTTCCAGGGGCATTCTTATCTAATAAGTAATTTAAACAAAGCAGGAGAGAGGGAAATGGCTATTATGACATATCATTTCATAGGGAACCCTGCTGCTTTCTTGAAGGATCTTAAAAGATTCTTAAGGATGCCACTAGAAACACTTGCATTTAAAGAGGAACTGTTGAGATGATGGACATTTAATTTGTTTGACTATAATAGTCACTTCATAATATACAAATATATTATAGCACCATGTTGTATTCCTGCATTTTGTACAATTTAAAATGAGACTGAGAAAAAAAAACCCTAGAAATACTTGCTTGTAGCAAACCATTTTAGCAACTTAAAAGCCTTCCCTTAAAGACATATTAAGCATTTGCTTTCAGCATCTGGACATTCTATCCATGGAGGAAATTAAGCATCTAGCAATGAGGACTATTTAGAGCAGCCACCACTAAGAGACAAGGAGATGTCTGAGTTAGTGGTCCAAAAGAATTAAAGGGGCAGGGGGGAGAAGAATGAAAGCAGGTCCCAAGGCAGTTAGCTTATGACATCATTACCAAGACATCAGAGGTGGATCTGTCCTTTCTATCTTCCACATCCCCACTCACACCATCCAAAGGATATTTTTAAGCACTTTGTGAATTCTATCTCCCTTCACCCCAGTAACAATCATTCCTTGAATCATAAGTATTCCTTTATGTAGAGTAGAAAAACCCATGAAGCACACTTTATATCTTGGTGTCTTCTGGTGACAATACCAATGATCCTAATCAAGTTAATACACCAAGGGCCAGAATGTGCCCAGAATATTAGTATTAGTACTTGAACCTTGAGATTGAAGTTGTACTCTTATAGAAAATAGTTAAACTTGTTAATATTTCTGTATTAGGGAATGCTGATAAGAAATTTTATAACAGTAGAAATATGTTAGTTATAAAGCTTCAAAAACTATTTGCTGAAAGAATAATAGATCAAGTTAACTACATGAGAATATTGAAGGGGAAGAAAGCCATAAAAGGAGGTAATATAAAATATTCTGAGCTAACATTTAAAGATAAATTCATTTAGCAGCATCATTTTAAAAATTATATTGTTTAGTTGGCATTCACATCCTATTAGTAATCTCATAAACCTGTTTTGCTAGAAATTATGCTTTAGAGAAAAATTAAGTACAATTCTTTCTATGATTCTAGATTTTGGCTTACTCATTTAGTTCACTTGACAATGATTTTCTAAGTAAATGTTCTTCTAGATAGAGTTGTTTGAATTTTTCCAGTTCTGTTTTGGTAGAATTGTTTTGGGTTCTACTTTGAGAGACTTCAGATTCCAGATCTTTAATTCTGAGTTCCATCTCATTTCTTTGGGTTTCTCTTAACTCAAATAAATGATCTCGATGTTCTGTTTCTTTCTAAAGCAAATTAAAATAATATTTAAAAAATAATTATAACCCCAACAGTTATCATATGTGTTTCTTTTCTTTTTTTAAAAAATTTAAATTTGTTTTAATTAGTAATACATGACAGAATGCATTTATGCACTTTGATTTATCATACATAGATGGGATATAACTTCTCATTTTTCTGAGTGTACATGTTGCAGAATCATATTGGTCATGTAGTCACCTATATACATACAGTAATAACGTCTGTTTCATTCTACTATCATTTCTATCCCTACCTCCCCCCACCCCATCACTTCCCTATACCTAATCTAAGGTAATGCTATTCTTCCCTAGTGTCCTCTGCCTTATTGTGAATTATCATCCGCATATTAGAGAAAACATTCGTCCTTTGGTTTTGTTAGATTGGCTTATTTAGCTTAGCATGATATTCTCAACTCCAACCATTTACTGGCAAATGCCATAATTTTACTCTTCTTTAAAGCTGAGTAATATTCCATTGAGTATATATACCACATTTTCTTTATTCATTCATCTATTGAGGGACACCTGGATTGGTTCCATAGACTAGCTATTGTGAATTGAGTTGCTATAAACATTGATGTGGCTGCACACCACAGTAGTTTCCTTTACATCTGAGTCAGTGATTCAGAGAGCAATGTTAGTTACATGAAAAAAAGATGAGATGCTGGAATTTATTATATTTATCATCAACTGTGAAATCTTTGTATCTGAAATATAAAAAAAAATCTGTGTGTGTGTGTGTGTGTGTGTGTGTGTGTGTGTGTGTGTGTTACTGAGGATGGAATCCAGGTCCTCAAGCAGGCTAGGGAAGCATTTCACCACTGAGCTACATCTCAGCCATGAATTACTCTTAGTTCTCATGTGAGATGAACATTCAAAGAATCTTATGATAGATTCAAAACAATGATTAAAAAATTGAACAGCATAACCTAGGAACAATCTGAAAGTGTTATAATTAAAAAAATATTTTTAGTTGTAGATGGACACAATGCCCTTTTAAAATTTATTTATTTTTATGTGGTGCTGAGGATCATATCCAGTGTCTCATACATGCTAGGCAAGTGCTCTACCACTGAGTCACAACCCCAGCTCTAAAAGTGTTATAATTTCTATGTAACAATTTTAATTTTCTTCCTAATAGTCTTGTTTAATGTCAACTAGTCTTAAGAAATCAAATGATTCTCCAATAAAAGCTTTTATTCTGAAAAATCAACTTAGTTATATTAATTATTAATGTGAAAATATTTACAGGGAATACAGATGTCATCTTCCTTCTAAAAGTCTATTAAATTGCTCTAAGGGAGGTAGAAGAAGAACATAACACAATGCATCTAAAACATAATTTTCAGTGAAAGGAATTAAAGCACATTGCAGATAAATTTACCTGTAAAAATAGATTGATTTGTTTTAAGGATGTTTGTAATTCATTATTAAAATGTTCTTCAAGTTCTTTTTTATATTTTCCTAATTGTCCTTCAATGTTTCTTTCCATATGACTTTTTAGTTTTGTTACCTCCTGCTCCAATTCCTTTTTATCTTCTTTTAGTTTTTGAACTTGCTCTTGAATCATTTTCCTACATAAAAACTCCTAACAAAAACATTGATATTTATTATTCACATGAAGATACTAAAGATGGACTCTTAAATTTTGCTGTATGTTCATCAATATGCATGAATAAAGTAATTTGGCAATGAAAGAAATAGGCTGAGAATAATTTAAAAAATCCTACCATATTTGACATACATTCAGTTGCGACAACATATGCTATATACTAGAATCTGAGAATTTGGTCCCTTTAATGACTCAGAAAGTAAACCACTAGGAGTCTCAAAAACCATATTTCTTATACTCATCATTTTTTGCCACAAGACATTTACATTTGATCTTAGGTGTTTATTTTTCTATGAATATTTCATGTCTTTCCTTCTTAAAATTATTCAAAGGTGATTTGGGAGTTCTTCAGGAGGAATTAGGTTGAGCAAACTACTTGGATGCACATGCAGGCTGTTTCTATGACAAGAGTACAGACTACTATGACTTGCTTCTAATAAACAATGTGATAAAAGTGAAGCCACTTAATTTCAAACACTAGGTTAGAAAATCAGGTATTTCATCTGATTTCAACTATTGAACTCTAAGTGAGGCAGCTTTGAGTATTTATTTATCATTCTGGCATGTATCTTCATTTTCCCTTAATCAATGCAAAAGTAAAGAGAACATTATGGAATAATTTTAATTTTTCAGTAGGGAAACAAATGTAGTGTCCTTTGAATGTAAATAATTTTAATGTAATATGTCTTTTGCCTTAATTCAATCTCATTTGGTGAAGACTATCTCATCTTTATGTTGTAGCACAATCTTCTCCATAACATGCATCTTGTCTTTAAAATTTTGAAGTTCAAATCACTTTGATTATTATTTGTCTTTCATAAGTAAACTGAATACTACCTGATTTTAAGTGCTGTATTCTTTGGATGAGTTGAACTATTTACTCCATATAGCCTGTACTGAGCTATAAAGCCAATGAAAACTCCAATGAAGTACCACTTCTATAGAAACAAAGTATACTGGTGTTTCCTTAGGGCTGAATAGGTGAATAGGGAAAGCTAAGGTTGGATGACATATGGGTATGAGATTTATTTTTAGGGTGATATTCTATATTCTAAATATTCTACAATCAAGATGATGATTGCATGAAAGTATAAATACATGTCATTGAATTATACAATTTAAATGACTGAGTTTCATGTTATGTTAATTATATCTTAATAAATATGTGACCTAAAGTTTTATATCATGATTTAGTACTCATGATTTTGGGGCATGTAATGGTGAAGTGTTTGGCTTTAAATTATGAGCCAGGATTCATGACATAAGAGAATCATCACTATGGATCTTTCATAAAAATATATTTTTCATTAATATCAAGTCTATAAAAATTTGAAAAGATCTTCATTTCAATACTCATAGCATGGAGAAATTTTATTTTTCAAAATCAATTTATTTGGGTCCTAAAAGTGGCTAACCAATTACCTTTTGGCTTTCAATTTCACTGGCTTTCAAATCTCCATTGAAACCATGCTCTTCATATTTATATTTATTTAACTTCTTTTCTGTCCTCAATCTGCAAAAATGTACATAAGTATGTCAAATAACAACTATTTAAACATTCTTTAATCAGATATTATGTTTTATCACATAAAAGAAATTATATGATCCTTTAATTTGTTTCAGCCTAACATTATGTGAAAACATTCTAATAAAATTAGAATGTGATATGAAAAGATGTTTTAAATTTATATGGTGGATAAAGAACTGATATTCAAAACATATATAGAATTATTATAGACGTGTATACCAATTTTGGTATGTTAACATAAAACATTTAGTATGTTACTATAAAACCATATTTAGTATGTTAATATTAAATATTACTATAACCTCTAAATCATTATCTAAGATAAAAAAGAAGATTATATTCAGATACAAATTTTTTAGAAAGAACAATACACTTTGGTATTTGTTTACCATGGTCCAAGTAGAAAAGAAAGTAAACAGAAAAAATGTCCTGGGGGACTGGAGATGTATTTCATTGGTAGAACATATGCTTAGCCTGTGGGAGGACCTGGGTTCCATCCCAGCACAGAAAACTAAAGGAAACATCAAGAAGATTATTCAAAGCAGATAAAGAGGCAAAGAAAAAAAATATTTGAGAGAAATATATATAGAGAAAAGAAAACAGGTGAAATTTTAGAAGAAAGGAAATCAAAGAGAAATGATGGATAAAGATTCAAAAGATTGTTTTAAGAAGAAATTTAGAGGTCTTTGCAAGCACAATATTAACAAAAATGCAACAGAGGAAAAGCCAGGCCCAGGTATACAATTAGATGACAGAAAATATTCATTAGAATAAGAACAAACTCATACACTCAGCAAATAAATAGTTACCCAGTCATGCTGGGGGCTTCAAAGATGCTAGAAAACATTCAATGTTTTTATAATCTGATGACACAAGCAGGGTTATTCATTTCATTTTTAAGTCATGTATCTTTTTCTTTTTTTTCCTTGAAATACCTTGATCTTATTTATTTATTTTTATGTGGTGCTGAGGACTGAACTCAGGGCCTTGCCTGTGCTAGGGGAGCGCTCTACCAATGAGCCACAACCCCAGCCCAGTCATGTATTTTTTTCTATGTATGAGACACATATAAAGTCAGCCCTCTGTGGGGGTTCCCAGCCCAAGGATCAAACCCCATGGATTAAAAATACTTGGAAACAATGATTCTGTATTGAACTTTTTTTCTTGTCATTCTTCCCTAAACAATACAGTATAACAATTATTCATAAAACATTACAATATATGAGCCTAATATAAGTGATGGAGAAATGATTTAAAGTAGGAGGATGTGAGTAGGTTACAAGCAAATATTACACCATTTTTCATAAAGAAAATGGATATTGATTTTGCTATCTGTAGGGGATACTGGAACAAACACCTGCAGATACCAGGAGATGCCTATATATTCCAGTTGTGCATGTGTGTGTGTGTGTGTGTGTGTGTGTGTGTGTGTGTGAACGTGTGTATATTTACAGAAGAAGTTTAATAACATGCATACCTCATGTACACATGAAAAATACCCACACAAAAGGAGTATATTTCCATGACTTATACCTACAAAAATAAAGATCCAGAAATAAAAAAATATAAGCTAAGTCAAGATAATTCTTGCTATTATTTAAGAATGATGCAGATAGGCTTTTAGTTATTCAAAATGTATGAATGCTTGGGGGACATTACAAAAAGAAGGAAGAAGTTCAAATTTTAAAATTTAAGATGAATGAAGAGGGCAACCGCCATTCTATACCAAAGATATTTGTATTATTGTTTTCATAATAATTAAAGAGTAAATGTAATATTTTGGCATTTTATAATGAGTTCCAGGTTTTGGTGTTAGTTTCTGAAGTAAATTTTAAGATAGAATACTTTGTCAAACTATGAAAAAGTGTATGTAAAATAAATTTGTGTTTAGGTTTTAGAAAAAATAGTTTTCATTAATGAGTGGTTAAAAAGATTATTAAAATCTTACCCTCTTAGCATTGTTTCTAATTCTCCACTTTTTTTCTTTTCTTGATCCAAAGCATATTCCAAAGATTGATTTAACGTAACAAGTTTACTTAATTTTTTATCATCTCCAGGCTTTGAAAAAATTTTATAAAAAAGTTTTTTAAAGATCTAGATACTCTGTTTTCTTAAAAAGTTCTTGTAATTAGTTTACAGAAATCATGTATTTAGTCAGGTTCATAAAATGCAGTGTATAATGCTGAATGGCAATCTTCAGAAATAATGACTTAACACAATTAACATTGATTTACCCTTTTACTATCTGTTTAGGAATTTACATTGCCAAAATTTATTTGTTCAAAATAGAAGTTTTACACATAAGTGTTAATGGAAAAAAAATTTTAAAGGACTGGTTCAGCATTTTAGTTTCTAAAGATGCCTGAAAAACGTTTTTTAAAAAATATTTCAATTTTATTTAAATCATTTTCCTAAGACAATTTTCAGAAACCTCCATTCTGAGTTCCAGGATATTCTTGATCCTCACCTAATTGGCATGAGAAAAATTTCCAAATTAACCATTTCTCTTTAAATTTTCAGTCTTCTTCTTAATATAAAAAAAAATAACTCTGGCTTGATTGTTAAATCTCTAGACTTCAACCTACATTACCTAATCCACATTAGCAGCTCTGAACTCTTTAAAGAGGTCATTTATGCTTTTCTTTCTTCCTTCTAGTTCACTTCTCAAAGAGAACAATCTCACAAGCCATTACCCTGGTGGATTTGTCTGCCATATAGCTGACATCACACATGATTATGTCCATTCTTAATGGTGTTACTTGGATGTAGTAATTTTCCCATTAGGTTGGAGAGGGGGCAGAATTTACTCTTAGGAGGGTGTCCAGCATACTTTATTTTTCTTTCTTAATGCTAGACTTTCCCATGAGGGTCAGATTATCAATTGTTTGCCTTGGTTTTCTTTTGAATAATTTCCTTTTCTATACAGACATGGCCTCATGGAAGTCTTGGTCAGAAGTTCCTTTTACATGTATCCTCAACTGTATTATCTGGAGGCTTGAGCCAGGTAGAGCTTTGTCTCCTTGCCAATGTAGACTCTTCCCCTCAAAATTGTGTCTGTCACATCTCTTAATCCAGGTAACCCATTATGTAGGAACCCATGATGTGGGAGACTTCGGGAGAAGTCAGGGGCTATTGATCTTTACTATACACACCTTAAAAGCTGTCTCATTCAATTTTTCATTCAAAGAGTAGACTTCAGATCAGCTAATGATCCTACACTGTATCCCTAATTCATTTCTTTGGGAATCTACAGAAAACCATTCATTATTTTCAAATACTTTTAAAAGATTTTGGATGCTCTCACCAGTTTTTCAGTTTTTTATACCTTAACAGATTTCTGCAACATAGCTATGTAAGTGAATTTAATTTTTAATTACATCTATAAAGCACTGATTTAAAAAAGCATAAATACATAAAAGGGAGACCAGTAGCATAGATCAAAGGGAACAAGGGGAGGAATAGAGGTACAGACTGAAAAACGTCTTTGCAACAAAGGAAACAATCAGTCCTGTGAAGAGAGAGCCAGCCAAATGGGAAAAGATCTTTACTATCCACACCTCAGATAGAGCACTAATCTTCAGGATGTAAAAATAACTCCAAAAACATAACAACAACAACAACAAAAACCCAATCAATAAATGGGCAAAGGAAATGAGCAGACACTTCACAGCAGAAGATACACAATAGATCAACAAATATATGAGAAAAATGTCCAACATCTCTAGCAATTAGGGAAATTCAAATCAAACTACTCTAAGATTTCATCTCACTTCAGTGAGTATATTAATTACCAAAAATTCAAGCAACAATAAGTGCCAGTGAGGATGTAGGGGAAAAGTAGACTGATTCATTGCTGGTGGGATTGCAAAATGATGTAACCACTTTGGAAAGCAGTATAGAGATTCCTTAGAAAACCTGGAATGGAACCACCATTCAACCCAGCTATCGCACTTCTCAGTGTATACCCAAATGGCTTAAAATCAGCATACTACAGGGACACAGCCACATCAATGTCTATAGCAGCATGATTCACAATAGCTAAACTGTGGAACCAACATAGATGCCCTTCAATAGATAAATGGATAAATAAACTGTGGAATATACACACAATGTAATATTACTCAGCCTTAAAAAAATGAAATTGTGGCATTCAGAGGTAAATGAATAGAGTTGGAGAATATCAGGCTAAGCAAAGTAAGACAATCCAAAAAAAAAAAAAAAAACAAGTCCAAATATTTTCTCTGTAAGTGGATGCTGATCCATAATGATGAGGACAAGGTAAGAATGGAGGAATTTTGGTTAAGTAGAGAGAAGTGTGGAGAGGGGAGGTGTGTGTGTGTGTGAGTGTGTGTGTGTGTGTGTGTGTGTGTGTGTGTGTAGGAAAGAAGGTGGAATGAGATGGACATTATTACTATATGTATGAGTATAATTAGATGAACATCATGTACAACCAGAGAAATGAAAAGTTGTGCTCCATTTGTGTAAAAAGTGAAATAAAAAAGTTAAAAATAAAAAGACTGAAAACAGGTGAATGGGAAAAATCTGGTTTCTGAATCTATGATTCTAGGAGCACTTGTTACTCTGTAAGGGCCTATTAAAACAAGCAGCCATTTCTACCTTTTCACTGGCATCTCTTTTATTTAAAAAATTCAAACAGAAAATTATATTTCTTTGGGATAAGTGTTCATGTAATGATTCACTATCCATTCTTGATAAATACAAATAACAATACTTTATCCTCTAAACCTCATTGAAAGGCTTGGATTACAAGAGAAATTTAAGAGGCTGGGGCTGTGGCTCAGCAATAGAGTGCTTGCCTAGCATGTGCAAGGCCTGGGTTTGATCCTCAGCACAACATAAAAATAAATAAAGAAAATAAAGGTATAGTGTCCAACTACAAATAATTTTTTTTAAAAATTAAAATTCTAGATGAAATAATTACTTTTTAAAATTTATTTAAATTTAAAGTTATTCTAAAATATTAGCAGGTATTCTAACATATAGTTGTACACTAATGTCCACAGCAGCAGTATCCACAATAGCCAAAAGGTAGAAATAATTCAAAAGTCCATCAACAGATGAATAGATATATAAGAAAAGTTTTATGCATAAAACATTAGTTTTAGAATATTACCATTTTAAATTAAAGTTTTACTTACAAAATCAGTAGTTTTATGAGTTCAGTGAACTTCTCTTATAAAGAGTAATTGCACAACTCGTAGCAAGTAATATCCACATAAATACAACAAGTATTTTTGTCAATGAGACTTATCATATTGCCTATCATATTGTTAGAGAATGAAAGTTCCATATGACAAGAGTTAATAAGAGACTGACTTACCATATTTGTTCTCAATAGTTTTTTCTGTAGCTGTTCAATTTTCTCTGACAGATTTTTTTTACTTTGACTTTTAATGTGGAATTTTCAAGTTGAAGCCTAAAAGGTATATTTTATTTTTTTAAGAGAGAGAGAGAGAATTTCAATATTTATTTTTCAGTTTTTGGCGTACACAACATCTTTGTTTGTATGTGGTGCTGAGGATCGAACCCGGGCCGAAAGCATGCCAGGCGAGCACGCTACCACTTGAGCCACATCCCCAGCCCCCTAAAAGGTATATTTTAAAACAATTATTCCCACAGACCAATTTTTTGGGGGGTCCTGGGGGTTGAACTCAGGGGCACTTAATCACTGAGCCACATCCCAGCCATATTTTATATATTTTTCTAGAGACAGGGTCTCACTGAGTTTCTAAGCACCTCACCTCTGCTGTGGCTGGCTTTGATTTAGTGATTTTCCTGTCTCAGCCTCCTAAGCCACTGAGATTACAGGTGTGCACTGCTGCACCTGTCCCAAATTTTAAAAATATGACAAATTTCTGAACAAACTTCGGAGAGTAATGAAATAAACTCCTGAAAATTTGAGAAGTAGACTTGGTAACTATAATTTTTTTCTAGATGTACTTTGTGGATAATGAGCAACATTGGAGCATAATGTGGAAACATTGTGCATCTTTTTTTCTTTTTGCAGTGCTTGGAATTGAACCCAGGGCCTTGGGTATGCAAAGCACCAACCCTACTGCTGAGCCACTTAACCAGTCCAATATTATGTGTTTCAAGTAATATAAATGCTGAAAATTTCCCCTGGGTGCATCATAACTGTTAAAAAATTCTTATACTACACTGCTTTTTTGCTTTATAAGTATTCAAGTTATTTTGAATACTGTTTAAATTATAGGTGATCTTGCCATTTCCTAGAGAACTACACTTACTTTGTATATTGATTCTTGTGTTCATGCAACTGAAAAAAAAAAAAAGGAAAAACAAACTTTACTAATCTAATACAAATCTCCCCAAAAGGTTGTTTAATGTTAAAATTTTGTGTGAACATGTCTATACCTGTTCCTCAGCATATTGTTTATGGTTACTTTTGTGATGTAACTGCATAGTTAAATAAATTATTGCAACACCTGATCTTAAAGCCCATGAAGCCTTAGAGCCTTTTATAAAATTTATATAAAAACTTTATGAAAAATTTGCTTTCCCCGTACTCTAGTACGGAAAACACATTATTCTTGTTTTCAAATTCTGTTTTATCAGTTACTCAAACTGATATTGGTAAAATGGGAAAAAATAGAAAATTCCCTTAAGATAAATATATATATCTATATTTAAATTATTTACAGTATATTACATATTACATCTCTTTCTCTAATATATATATATATATATATATATATATATATACACATACATACATACATACATACATACATATTTGTATTCTGATCACCATGAAATTATAATTTGAAAAATTCATATACATATGAATATACATATGGGACCAAATCTATGCCAATAAAAAATTAACATAATGCTTTAGGTGACAACTAAATGTTTTATACAATCCTTTGAGAAGTAGTATTAACAGAGACACTGGGGTGCATGTAAAACACCCACTCCACTGAATCCTAGCTTGCTAGTTATTAACTGTGTGGTCCTGAAAAATATTAACTTTCTAGATCTCAGTTTCTTCACCTGTGAAATGGAGATAATAATAGTTCTTACCTCATGAGACTTGGGAAGATTGAGTTAGGGACTATAATAAAGTACTTAGGGCGACCGCCTTCACTCACCTGCATGGAAGCCTAGTCCCAGGGTAGGCCCAGGATAGGCCTATTCTGCCCCACTTACCAGCAGACCCACACCAGAGCTGAGGCCTGGCCCAGGGCCACCCCAGCAGACTTGCATGGGAGACCATTGGATCCCAGGCCTAACCCAACTCCATCTTGAGTGACTGCAGCCATTGCCCTAGCCCTCCCGACACAGTGGCCTCCATTCTATGACAACAGATAGGTCTAGAAGCAGCTACATCTCAGAGTAGGCAGCCCAAAGTCAGTGTAAGGTCCACCCTTTCAGTCCCATATCTGAAAGAGTTTGCATTTATCTTGGGACACCCCCATAGATATTGTGAGTTATCTCCCCTATTGCTGCCACCACCTATAGTTGCTGTAGAATCCATTGCTGGTCACTGGCAGAAACTGGAATCCAAGGTGTTACAGATAATCTGCACCAATACTATAAGATTATAGGGTAGAAAATACCATAAATCCACTCTGCAAAAAAAGGAAGACACATAGACAACATTAAAAAAAAAAAAAGGGAAAAAAGTGCCCCCAACAAACCAGGAAACCACAATAACAGAACCATGGACAGCACAGTTGATGAAATGTCAGACAAGCAGTTCAGGATGTATGTAATAAAATGATCTGTGAATTAAAGTATTACCTAAATGAGCAAATACTAGCAAAAATTGATCATTTCAACAAAGATATAAGAGAGAAAATACAGGCAACCATTGATCACACCAACAAAGAGATAAGGGAGCAAACATAGGTAGCAAAACATTACTTTAAGAAAGAGAGAGTCTGAAAAAAACCCAATCAGAAATCCTTAAAATAAAGGGGAAACAATAAACCAAAGAAAAAAACTCAATAAAAAGCATCCCCAACAGACTAGATCACTTGAAAGACAGAAGGCCATATAATGAAGACAAAGTATATAATCTGGAAAGTAAAGTTGACCACACAGTGAAGATGGTCAGAAACCATGAACAGAACATCCAAGAATTATACAATAACATCAAAAGACCAAATATAAGGGTTATTGGAATAAAGGAAGGCACAGAGATTCAAACCAAAAGAATGCACAATCTCTTCAAGAAGATAATTTCCCAAAAATGAAGAATAAATTGAAAAATCAAATACAAGAGGCTTACAGGACACCAAATATACAAAATAACAACAGATATACACCAAAGCACATTATAATAAAAATGTGTAGCATTCAGCATAAGGTTAGAATTTTAAAAGCCATAAGAGAAAGAAATCAGATCACATATAGGGGGAGACCAATTTGGATCTCAGCAGATATTTAAATCCAGACCCTCAAAGCCAGGAGATTGTGGAACAACATATACCAAGCTCTTAAAGAAAATGGATGCCAACCAATAATCCTGCACAATTAAGCTTCAGATTTGATGATGAAAGAAAATCTTTTCATGATAAACAAACGTTAAAAGAATTTACAGTGATAAAGCCTGCACTAAAGAGCATCCTCAGCAAAATAATCCAGGAGAAGGAAATGAAAAACAACAATGAAAATCATCAAAGGGAGGAACTACACTAAAGGAAAAGGCCAAAGGAGAAACCAAGTTACACTGAAAACTAAAAATAAACCAAATTGTCTGGGAACACAAATCTTATTTCAATAATAACTGAATGTAAATGGCCTAAACTCATCAATCAAAAGACATAGCCTAGAAGATTGGATTAAATAAGAAGACCTAACTATATGTTGTCTTCTAGAGACTCATTTCACAAGAAAAGATATCTACTGACTGAAGGTGAAAGGGTGAGAAAAAAACATACTCACATCGACCACGTAAACAAGCAGGTGTTTCCATCCTTTGAGAAAATGGACTTCAAATGAAAGCTGGTGAAAAGAGATAAAGGAGGACATTTTATACTGCTTAAAAGATACATACATGAACAAGACATAACAATCATAAATATCTATGCTCCCAACAATGGGGCATCTATGTATGTCAAACAACTACAAGAACAAAATAGACCACAACACAATAATACTGGGTGACTTTTAATATACTTCTCTCACCACTGGACAGATCTTCCAAACAAAAACTAAACAAAGAAACTATAGAACTCAATAATATAATCAATAATTTGGACTTAACAGACATTAACAGAATTAACAGATTTAACAGATTTAACATTAACAGACATTAACAGACTTAACAGACATTAACAAATTCCATCCATTAACAAGAAAATACACTTTCTTCTCAGAAGCACATGGATCCTTCTCCAAAACAGATCATATGTTATGCCACAAAGCAAGTCTTAGCAAATACAAAAAAAACCCCAGCGATACTACCCTGCATTCTCTCAGATCATAATGGAATGAAATTAGAAATCAATGATAAAATTAAAAAGAGAAGTTATTCCAACACCTGGGGACTAAACAATATGCTATTGAATGATGCATGGATAACAGAAGACACCAGGAAGGAGATAAAAAATTCTTAGAGGTAAATGAGAACTCCAATACAACTTATCAAAATCTCTGGGACACTAAAAGGCAGTGCTAAGAGGAAAGTTCATTGCATGGAGTTCATTCATTAAAAGAAAAAAAAGTCAGCAAATAGATGACCTGACATTATAGCTCAAAGATCTAGAAAAAGAACAAACCAGCACCAAAAGTAGTAGAAGACAGGAAATAAAATCAGAGCAGAAATCAATAAAATTGAAACTAAAGAAACAATTCAAAAATTGACAAAACAAAAAGCTGGTTGTTTGAAAAAATAAATAAAATTGACAAATCCTTAGCTGGTCTAATGAAAAGAAGGAGGGAGAAATCTCAAATTACTAAAATTTGTGATGAAAAAGAAAATATCATGACAGACACTATTGAAATACAGAAGACAATTTAAAACTATTTTGAAAATTTAAACTCCAGTAAAATAGAAAACCTATAGGCACCAACAAATTTATAGAGACATACAATCAACCCAAATTGATTTAAGAGGACATACAAAAGGCTACCAACCAAGAAAAGCATGGGACTAGATGGATTCACAGCTGAGTTCTACAAAACTTACAAAGAAGAATTAATACCAATACTCCTCAAGTTATTCCATGAAATAGAAAAGGAAGGAACCCTTCCAAACTCATTTTACAAAGCTTGTAATACTCTGATACCAAAACCAGGCACAGACACATCAAGGAGAGACCAATATCCCTGATTAACATTGATACAAAAATTCTCAATAAAATTCTGGCAAATTGCATACAAAAACATATTAAAAAATAGTGCATCAAGATCAAGTTGGGTTCATTCTAGGGATTCAAAGTTGGTTCAACATATGGAAATAAATAAATATAATTCAACAGACTTAAAGATTCATATGATTAGATCAACTTATGCAGAGAAAGCATTTGACAAAATACAACTTTTCATGTTCAAAACACTAGAAAAAACTAGGGATAGTAGAAACATACCTCAACATTGTAAAAGGTATCTGTGCTAAATCCAAGGCCAACATACCTTGATTCATCATTTCTTCACATGAATGTACCCATGTTTATTCAGTTCAGACACTTGTCTTCCTAATTACTATTGTTTCAAAGACAATAGATTCAGCCCTCTATTTAGTCCTCCCCTGATATGGTTTTAAATTTTATCAATCTACTGAATTTTCAAGAAGAAACTGGACCATAGGTGGTGGCACATTTCTGTAATTCCAATTACTTGAGAAATTGACATGCGTAAAATAAAAACATCAACCAGAAACACATAGAAAACCACTAAAGTAGAATTATCACAAATTACAACATCTACAATTCAGTTCATCAAGGAAATCTGGAATGAACTATCAAAGTACCCACTTAATTGAATATAGGTATTGGCATTTCTGTTTATCTGATAGTCTTAAAATGTAGCAATATTGGGCTGCGGATGTGGCTCAAGTGGTAGCGTGCTCCCCTGTTTTGAGTCATCTTCATTATATAAAAGAAGACATTCGGCATTTGTTTTTTAGGGATTGGCTAACTTCACTTAGCATAATCTGCTGTAAGCCATCCATTTCCCTGCAAATGCCATGATTTTGTTGTTTTTTAGTGCTGAGTAATATTCCATTGTGTATAAATGCCACATTTTTTTATCCATTCATCTATTGAAGGGCATCTAGGTTGGTTTCACAGTCTAGCTATTGTGAATTGTGCTGCTATGAACATTGATGTGGCTGTGTCCCTGTAGTGTGCTCTTTTTAGGTCTTTTGGGTATAGTCCGAGAAGGGAAATAGCTGGGTCAAATGGTGGTTCCATTCCCAGATTTCCAAGGAATCTCCATACTGTTCTCCAAATTGGCTGCACCAATTTCCTATTTATGTTTAGCACTTTAAAAGGAAGATTATGTAAGATCAAGTTGTAAAATGACCAGAAAAGGAAAAGCCTAGCAAGAAACTTTTAGACAATAAATTTTTGTCTCCAGCCAAACATTACATTACATGAGTCTAGACTTCTACTCTCACCAGGCTATAGATTCCCTACTGAATATGTCACAGAGACATTCAGGTCTATGACAAACAATCTAATGTTTAAGCTAAAGAAGTTCAAGAGAAAGAGGATCAACAGGTGGGTCTAAAAATTACTCAAAGAAGTACAGCTGAAAACTTTCAAAATTTTGTAAGTCAAACCTGTGGACTTGAAAAGTTGATAAGACCCTGAACAAGAAATACCAAAAAACGCATATCGAAGCATAATATGATTAAACTTTTGAAAGGTGATAAAAATGACTATAAAACTGTTAAGTTCAATACTGAATCAAAAATTGTGCTAAGCTATATTTTATGAAATAAATAATAAAACATTTTAACTAATGACTGGTGCCCCTTATGGACACCAGTCATCTCCCAAACTCACTCAAACAGTTGCTGATTCCAAGCAACTTTGGTTCTATCACAGCATTTACCTTGGTGTTCTGGAGATACAAGATTTCTCCTCATCTAAACTAAGGGATTCTTGAGGGCAAAAGTTATACTTGTTACCTCAATAACCACCAAACTATATAAGATCTATAACTAATATAAGATCATATGGCCCACAGAATCAGATTACAAATAAGAAACACCAGTCAATATTATAAGGATATATGAATATTACTTCATACTATTTGTTCTTTTTTTTTTTTTTTAGTTGTAGTTGGACACAATACCTTTATTTTTACGTGGTGCTGAGGATCAAACCCAGCGCCTTGCATGTGCTAGGTGAGCGCTCTACTGCTGAGCCACAACCTCAGATCCAATACTGTTTGTTCTTGTGTTGCCCAAATTATTGCTTTTCTACCAAAGTGATGGTTTATTTGCTATTTTTCATTAAATTCCAATAATTATAAGTTAATTTTCTTTTTCCTATTAATTTAATATTTAACTTAAATGATGGTAACCACTCTAGAACCCCACAAAACAAACTACTGTACCTTTCTTGTTCAACTGCATGAATAGTTTTTTCTTCTCTGTTAAAAATGCTTCTATTTCCTGTCTCTTGTGTTTCAGAGCAAACGATATTGGTGTGAGGCCATCCTATGAAACAATAAAACGATTTGTAACAAAATACATATGTCTCAATTGAACTGAAAATCATATCAATGGTCTGCTTAACAAAACATATCAAATAAAAAGTAAAGGAATAGTAAGTAGTCTCTTTCTTCTGACACTACCACATTTTCACATGTGCTGCTTGTTTTCTCTTTGAAATCCCTCTCCTCTGCCTAGAGTTGCCCCTTGTGGACACCAGTCATCTCCCATACTGCTTTCCAAATTGGCTGCACCAATTTCCTATTTATGTTTAGCACTTTAAAAGTGACATGATCCTAAGCAACTTTGGTTCTATCATAGCATTTACCTTGGTGTTTTGGAGATACATGATTTCTCCTCATCTAAACCAAGTGCTTCTTGAGGGCAAAAGTTATACCTGTTATCTCAATAACCCCGAAACTATAGTAGTAAAGTTGAAAGATTGAAGCACTTTTATTGGATTAGTGAGCTACATTATCATCTCTAGATCAGGGTTTCTCAATCTGGAATATTTCTCAATTTCTGGAATATTTACCTTTTCAGAAGTACCATGACCCAACAGTAATATTCCATGACCACCACTTTGAGAAAGAATACAAAACTGCATTTTATGTCTCCTATTAAAGAATTCTCTTTAACTTTATTTAATCATTCCCTCTTTGTTTCATATTTAATCATGACCTAATCAATAAAAATCTGGTGCCATTATTGATAGACAAGTTTATGATTAAATAACCTTTTTCCCCAAATAAGAATTATTGAAGAGCATCTCATATGTCAACGTAAACTACAAACAGTTTTCCTTCACATTTTTATTGGTGCATTACAGTTGTACATAAAAATGTGTTCAGATGTGGTATCACATATTAGCACATGCACACAATATATCAATATAATTTGGCAAATATCATTTTCTAACATTTTCTTCTCTTGTCACTCCTCCCTTCCTATCTGGCTCCCCTGGATCCCTTTCATCTATTCTACCGATCTCTTTTTTCATTTCATGAATCACCCCCACATTTCTTTTACTTTTTCCTCTCTATATTCCACATTTGGTAGAAAAGTAAGACACTTGGCCTCTGAGTGTAACTTATTTTGCTTAACAATATGTTTTCAAATTCCATTAATTTTCCTGCAAAGGACATTGTTCTTTGTGGCTGAATAAAACTCCAGTGTGTGCATACATCACATTTTCTTTATCCATTCATCTGTTGAGGGATGCCTAGGCTGGTTTCATAGTTTGGCTATTTTAAATTGTGCTGCTGTGAACATAGGTATGCATGTCTCACCATGGTATGATAATTTAAACTTCTAGAATACTGAGAAGTGGTATAGCTGGGTAATATGGTAGTTCCATGTCTAGTCTTTTAAGAAACTTCCATATTTATGGAAATACATTTTAAAAAAAAAATGAACAAGCTTTTCTTGTCATTTTCCCTTGATTATCTAATTTCCAAATTGGCTGGAACACCTCTGATTGCTTTCCTTCATTTTCCCTTTTTCATGCTTTACCACTAAGAGATAAATTTCATTTATATAAGTTATCAAGAGCAAGATTTCCATTGATGTTAATACTTTCCACTTGTCAGAGTTTTAATATAAAGTCTTCTTCTAAGGCAAATTTTGCTTTCTTGTATTTTTGTACATTAATTGAGAAGAGCCTTAATGGAAAAAAATTTGAACAAAAGGAAAATTTTCACCTTTAACAAATTTATAATTTTCACAAATATTTTCTATGAATGCAAAATAAGCCTATGTTCCTCCTCAATTCTTTTTTAAAAATATCAGGATTTAGAGCAAAATCTTCTACAATAAAATTATTTTAATATTTTAATTCAGAGAATTCTTGAACTTCTTAAGTAGAAAATAGAACTTAAAATATGCAACTATTAAAATATGCATTACAAATATTCTGAAAACAAAGCTTTAGTGGATCTATACCTTGTTTTTTGCTTCAATATCTGCATTATATGAAAGTAATTTTTCTGTTATTAGTATGTTATTCCTAAAGGCAGCATGGTGAAGCAGAGTGAAGCCACTTGCATCCATAACTTTTGGATTTGCATCATGTTCTAGAAGAATAGTCACACATTCTTTCTGTTGGCATTATATGGCCTGTTGGTATTGTAATGAGAAATAGATTTTATATTCACAATAAACATCTAAAAATCTCATCAATTAGATATCTTTAAATCAGAAAATTTATTTTTTTTCTAAACTGATATTTACTTTAATAAAAACTGTGTGTGGGCTGGGGATGTGGCTCAAGTGGTAGCGCGCTCGCCTGGCATGCATGCTGCCCGGGTTCGATCCTCAGCACCACATACCAACAAAGATGTTGTGTCCGCCGAGAACTAAAAAATAAATATT